TTTATTCAAAGAATATCTAATGAATAATATTTTAAACAAATATTAATAAAAACTGAGATTTAGATATTGTTCAATATTTTTGATACTAAATTGTTACAAAAAAGTAAAGTAGCTGCCATCCATATGTATTTCTTTTCAAACAACACCATTCTTATTTTGTTTTTTTGTTAATGCAACTATATTCCAATGAATGTTGTTTTGTTGTTTTAAAAATTTCGTTGAGAGTGTTTTCATATTGGAGATATAAAATTCTAGCATTAACCAATACCTCATTAAAGCAATTAAGTGGGAAGATTTTCTAAACATAATAAATAAATTGTTTTATATAAAAGGAGTTGTTAAAATAACAAACCATTAAAAAGAGCATAGCTTCATCTTCGCTTTGAATTAACAACAACCTATCTTTATTTTCTCTATTCATAAATAACGTACATCTCAATTAAATTGATATATTAAAAGAAACAAACAAAATAATTTCAGCCATAAAACATAATAAAAAAGAGAACTTTTTTGATATAAAAACGTGGTCCAGTAATACTGTTAAATCTTCTATTGGTAAAATACGTGAAAATAATGTAATAATTGGTTCAAAAGCATAAAAAATAGGATGTGCATTTATTTGATTAAGATGATTATATAATTCATTGTCAACCAATTCTAAGAATTTCTCATATAATGTTATTATCATCATAGTGCCACCTTTTAGTTTTGGATAATACCATAAATTTAGTCCTTTATAAATATAACAAACTAATCTATAAACATTACATTCAACATCTGATATGTTATTTGATTTAACCTCTCCAATAAATTCTTCATTAAATATCTGATAAAGAGGGATTATTACATCAATTAGTCCTTGAGTGTATGGACAATTGTATTCAGTTTTAGCAATAATAAATGCTATTCTTCTAATACTAGCCAAAATCGGTAAATTCTAATAAATAATTATTTTTTTATTAATTTATTAATAGTAATAAAAAATGTAATAAGAAGAAAAATAACAAACTTGAGAACAAAATGTATTTGTTACACGAGCAAGATCCATATCAATCTTTTCTAGAAGTTTAATATCTTCTTTATCATATTTTTTTATATCATCAAAAACATTATTATTATCATTATTATTGTTTAACGCTTTAAGAAGATATAGAGAATATCCCTCAGAAGTTGTATTAGAAAATTCATTACCTTTTTTACAAGGAAGTGTATAATATTTATACACTAAAGAAAGGTATTCATATCTATTAATCTGTGTGTTTCTTTGCATTTGGTCAAAAGAAAGTTGTACATTATCATCATAATGAAGTAATTCACGGTAAATAAGTTTTCTTTTTTGATTATTAATATCTTTTATTATTTGGAACTTGTCATCTTGAATTTCTTTTGGTTCAATAGAAGACGTATTAAATGAAGGGGTATCTGTTTGAATATCCAATGGTTGGTTCATAAGGAATAAAACTAAATTATTTTTAAGTTTTTTTAAAGAAATATAATTTTAAATCCTTTTTTAATTATATTATCTTTGGTTGAAAGTCAAATTAATTTAAGAATTAATTAAACATCATTTTCTTCTATTGGTGAAATAGTCAAGACATGAATTCCTAAATGACGAGAAAACGCATAACAAATATCACCAATTAAAAGCGATTCCATAAAGAAAGCAAAAATTAGTCCCCCAACAGTAATTAGAAAAGCTAAACATTCGTTATGGAGTATAAAAGCAATGGAAAGGATAATAATATAAAATCCATATCCATAGAAAATATTGTCCATCATTGAAATAGGTTCTTTACATATTCTTTTTACAACTAACCTTTGAGTTAAATAAGCATTAATCAGAATAATTATATAACAATTAAGCCAAAAAACTTTGTTAGAATAATCTGAATTTATATGAAGTAAAAGAATAAGTGATAATGTTAAAATTAAAAATATAAAATATTGTGTCATACAAAATATTGCAGATGAAAGATTTGTATTATTCTTTTGAGCCCAATGAGAAACATTTAAATAATATTTAAAACATCCTAAAATACAACAAATTAAAATAAAGTAATAGATCAAATCATTAATAGATATAATTAAAATAATTATTTCTCCAGCTTTAGGAAAAAATCCTTGAAATAATAAGAATCCTATTGTTAAATATTGTAATTCAGTTGGGTTCATAATATATCCTAATACTAATGTTCCTACATGATATTCTTCCCAATGAGACATATAAAACACAGTATTTAATATTATCATTAATAAATAACATTTAGTTGTTGTTTGATGAAGATTTAATACAACGGCTAAACTAAATATACCTATCATTATTGAATCAACTCCATGGTCAAATAATTCTCCTAATGGACTTGATGACTTAGTTCTTCTTGCTTGTTTTCCATCTAAATTATCTGCTGTTTGATATAAAAATATCATAATACTAACAAGAATATTAATAAAAATATTTGGTTCACTATTAGGATCAAGAAAAATATTCATCATAATCATTGCAACTCCCATAAATAGTCCACCAGTAAGTGTTATCATATTTGGTGCTAACCACATTGGAAACTTTTCTATCAATATATTCCAGAAATAAGGTCCTAAAAAATAATTTACCATTATACTTAAATCAACACCATTATACTTATAATATTGTAGGTTGTCTAATCCTTGCTCACTAACAAAGAGAGGGAATTTAATCAGATTACAAGGCATTATTTTTATTAGTGTCTTTTCATTATATCTTTTCCAACAGATTGATTTATTATAATTAAAATATATTTTTATTATAAATATAGTTTTCTTTTTCTTGAAAAATGATAAGAGTAAAAAACGATAAATTATAGTATGATAATTATTAAATAAACTATAATAAGATAGGCAGTTTTTAAAGAATTTAAGTCTTCGTTTTGAGAATGAACTGATAAAACAGAGTTACACAAAAGAATTATGTTAAATGGGTCAATGAAAATCTGTGTTATTGGAGACATGAGTTTGTTTTAATAAACAAAAGAAAGAAAAAAAGAATAGAATATTTAATTGATAGGTGTTGGTAAGACGTGTATTTCTAATAGATTAATTAAAGACCAATTTATCGATGAAGAAAAAGCGACTATTGCAGCATCATTTGTGACAACAAAATTAGAGTCTGAAGGAAAAAAAGTAGACGTATCTATTTGGGATACTGTTTGTTGGCATTATTTTGGAAATACGGATAAAAGGACTTAACAAGACATTTAGGCAGGACAAGAGAAATATAGATCAATGGTATCAATGTATTATCGAGGAAGTAGTGAAACAGTTATTGTATAT